GCCATATTCTGTAGCCCTTTGAAGTGTTTGAAAATGACCTATCTATCTAAATTATATCTTTGCTTGACCTTGAAAACATAGCCAATGTGACTACAAGTTTGATTATACTAGGTGATACTAACCTATATTTCTTTATTATCCTAAACAGTTGATAATAATAACTTTCAAGGATGAGAAATTTGCACTACATTGTTACATGAGCTGCATAGGTACAATACCTTAAACAAGATTGGAAATGTGTGTACAGTATGTTTTAACAAAATTAATCTCAAATTTGTATCAATATAAAAAAATTGTATACAATATTTAAAAGTAAAACCAATTTAAAACATTTAAACTAACAGTTGCTTTTAAAAAGTAGATTCAATAATTTACCTTTTTATTTTATCATATCTATATCCCCTTTCCCCTTTTTTTCTTTTCCTTTCTCTCTGTCTTTCTATTTTTTTTTTTATTTTTCGATACAAGGTTTCTCAGTAGCTGTGGAGCCTGTCCTGGAACTTGCTCTGTAGACCAGGCTGACCTAGAACTCACAGAGATCCACCTGCCTCTGACTCCCAAGTGCTGGGATTAAAGGAGTGCGTCACCAAAATCGCCTGACCTTTTTTTTTTTCAAAACAAGAACCTTGAATCTAATTTTCTTTGTTTAGCTTTTTTCCTGACCATTATCCATAACAATTTGTAACCAAAACATTAAACAAAAACAAACATCCATAATCCATTTTTTGGGAATGTGGGCATAGTTTTCTATGCTACTTCCTGCTGATTGGGAGCACTGATAATCTTATGGTGACCCAAAGAAAATTTAGGATTATGGTTCCAATCCTTCCTGGAGTATTCTGTGAGGCTGCATCAGCTCACCAGCAGTCTTGCAGCTGTTCTGGATGTAGAACTCAGAGGAAACCGCAACAGATGTTGGATCATCTGGGTCATCTATTTCACTGGAGATTTTTCAGGGGGTTTTTCTTAATCAGACCTTATTTTTCTTAACCCATAATGAATCCACGGCCTCTCATTTCCTGTGGAAACAAAAGCAAAACCTTTTTTCCAAAGAGACATATCTTTTGACTTAAATTTGCAGTGAAGGCATTTTGATTAAACCTTATTTTTCTTAACCCAGAATGAATCCCCAGCCTCTTACTTCTTTTGTAAAGAAAAGCAAAATCTCTTCTCCAAAGTAAGATATCTTTTTACTTAAAAATTGAAGTCAAGGCATTTTCAAAATATATAGGTTGGATTAATCCAGCAGCATTAGTAATCAAATGTCTTTTAGCAGCTGTTGCTCCTTCCTCAGCAAACAATTCAAAGAACACAATAACATACCGTGTCCAGATTCTCTGTGTATTTTCCATCTTTACATGGAAATTAAGCTGGGGTGGATGAGAGCTGGGAACATTAGTTTTTCTCCTGAACCCAGGTAGCTAGCTTTGGGTTCTGATTCCTAGAGCTGGAATTCCAATCCCAGCCCTGGCCTGGAATTATGGCTAAAAAGCCTTTTTCATAAATTCATACTACAAAAAGTTGGGCACCACATGAAGCATGAATAATAAAAACTCAGGGTCAGAAATTGGGGTTCAACCTGAAGGTTCAGTCTGAAAAGCAAAGAAGCCAGCCACTGACTCTTACCTCTACCTTAGTTCGAAATGGCAATCCTGCCTCCAGGAATCTCAGAATGAGACTGTGTGTTGAGAGCTGTCTCCTCCCATTTTATAATCCTCTCTAGGGCTGGGATTAAAGTATCCTAACCACTCGATAGCAACTAGTGTGACCTCTGAGATTAAAGGCGTGTGTTACCATAATCTGGTCTGTAAGGCTGACCAGTGGGACTGTTTTACTCTCGGATCTTCAGACAGTCTTTATTTATCAGAACACAATTAAAATGCCACTACACCCCAGTGGTTTTCATCCATCAGCCCAGGCTCAACCTGGACCAGATGAAGTCCGACACTCAACCTCTGACACACGTTAACTTTTCAAACACACTCTTTACAGGACCCATGACCTTGAACCTTCCTCCTCCAGAGCAGCCTGCCCTTCATCAGAGTCAACACAGCAAGCCTGCTCCAGCAGCCTGCCTCTTCCTGATCTCCTCACAGCCTGGAAATGGTTCTCCTTTTCTCAGCCAAGAGCAACAGCGTGCTTGACTCTTCAGAAAGGAGGCGTGTGCCTGTGTGTGCTTGTTCACCCTCTCGTGCGCTTTGAAAGCATCACCTTGGAGCTGCTCTGAGACCCTTGACTTCCGAAGGACGGCTTCTTAGAAGTACAAACTTAATTTCAATTACTCTATCCACTGTCCCACTCGACAGGCCCTCTGGCGGCACACTACATGAAAGCCTGTCTAATTGCCAGTAAATAGTGGAATAATCTTTTGAAACAATGTAGCAAACATAATTAATTGAAATAATCTCCATGTGTTTCATGTGGTAATAACCACTTATGGGAGATTAACATCCCAGAAAGAGACACGGAGAGGAGTGGGAATGGGGGCGGCCTCCTGTAAATCCTGTCTTATTTCCTTGACAGTCGTCTTATTTATTTATTTCTTGCTTCCTTGTATCAATTCTTTTCAGCTGAATGAAATAATGATTTATTGCCTTATAGACTGCCGCTGAGTCTGAATAATTGGCAGTTAACTTATTAACTGGATGCTTTGCATCAAACTCAGGAAACAAACGTCTGAAAGCGGAGGGAGGAATACCCACGTGTGGAAGATCCCACGGGAACTGGGGAAAAGTCAAATACGTTTGTTCCCAAAATTCTCAAAGACTTGTTCTTGTACCCTGTTCCGTGACTCACAAAGTTCATGGTTAGACCTGGAATTGGTGGTTTTTATCAGAGTTCGCCCCCAAATCAGCTGTACCTATAACCGAAAGTGCTTGTTTTGTGCCTGATTTTTTTCTTTTTAATGTTCTCCCTCTGTGTGTCTCTTGACAGTTCCAGGGACATTGGGGTCACCTCAGTTGGCAGGTGAAGGAAGGCCAGGCTCAGAGCACGGTGTGCACCCTCAGGTTCCCCGAGAACTGGCACAGTGTCCCCTGGGCTTGGGTCTAGGCAACCGGAAAGATGACATGATTGGAAGTGCGTCAGGTTCGTGTCGATCAGGTCCAGTCAAGGCAGGGCCACATGGAGCAGGGCCAGGCTGGTCAGGCTACAGGAGAAACATGCAGAAAATATGGCCAGAGAGCTGTAGGGGCTTCCCTGGGAATGTGTGAAGGAGACAGGCAGGAGGTTCGAGCAAGCTTGGATCACACAGCTCACTGTACTGCTTGGTCTGTCTGGGCAGTCTTTGGGCTGAAGGGCTCGCCTTTCATTGTGATTTGGGGAAGAAGTATTGGGTTGGCCTGTGAAGGTTCCTTAAAGGAGGTGGCTGGGAACATAGGCCTGGACCTGGACGGGTTGTACAGGGGAAGGGTACTCACAGGTCAGTGGTTCTCTAGCTGGGAGTGAGCCTTGGAAGAGGCAGCTTCTCCAGGATTAGTCAAAACCATCAGAGCAACAAAACCCACCAGACAAGCAACAGCCACAGCATAGAGCGAGCCGCCAGTTCCTTGTGGTGTGGGGAGAAACCAGGGCTTTCCCTTCAAGGCATGTTTAAAGAAGCAAAACCTTCAAGTTAGGGAATAGGCCTGCTTCTCTCGGGATGTCCGTGGCTGGCCCAGCCCCTAGAGGACATCTTCTAATCTTACCTGTGAGGCAGGGAGCAGGAGCTCTCGCACACTTCTCAGCGCAGCCTTGTGAGTGCCGCAGATCCCAGGAGCAGGGCTCACACACAGGCTGTTCACTAAAGCGGCCAACGCGGAGTAAGAAGGAAAACGAAGAAAAATGAGCAGGAAGAAAAAGATCCTGCAGGCCCATCAGACACGAATCCTTCTAGAAGACATGTCTCAGTCCTGGGTGGGGGTGGGAGCATACAAGAACTTTGTTGGTCTACCTCAGAATGGCCTCCACCCTCTGGAAGGAGACCGGGCTTCCCCTTACCAGCAGCCATGTACTTTCTGGTGAGTGTGGTTACTTTCCAGGAGGGATGGGAGGCACCAACACCCGTTTGTTCTTGAGCCATATCTACAAGCAGATGGAGAACTTCCCGGGTGCCAGGGAAGTCAGTGGACAGGTGCAGGCGTGTTAGGGGAGGAACACCGCCTCAGTTGACCTGGAAAGGCCAAGTCATGGGGAAAATATTTGCAAGGTTGGCCATACCAGAGAAAGAAAAGGGACTATTTTTGTGTGTTGGTATACACTTGTGTGTGTGTGTAAGTGTGCACATGTATGTATATGTATTTGGAGAACAGGGGTCAACCAGGTGTTATTCCTCTGACTTGACCCTGTTTGTTGAGACAGCGTCTCTCACTGACCCGGCATGGAGGGCAGTCCACGCTGAGTAAGGCGTGTGTCGCCCTGGGTTGTATAGGAGAAGGTAGGCTGAGCAAGTCATAGACAGAAAGCCAATACATAGTATTTCTCCATGGCCTCCACTTCAGTTCCTGCCTCCAGGTTCCTGCCTCGAGTTCCTGCCCTGACTTTCTGAAATGATAGATTATGATATGTAATCGTAAGCTGAAACAAACCCTTTCCTCCCCAAGTTTTGGTCGTGGTATTTCATTACAGCAATGGAACCCTAACTAAGACCGCAGGGCAGAAGTGACTGGCTTTGTATGGTGAAAAAGGACAGTGAGGGTGGGGTGTAAGGTCTGGTGTCAGCATGAGAAGCCAAGAGACCCTGCAGAGCCCGAACATGGTGCCTTAGTCTTTCCAGGCTGCCGTAACAGCTCTGTAGGCTGCGTGGTTTAAACAAACCATTTCCCCACAGTTCTGAAGACGTAGATTCATGAGCAGAACTGCCCGCCTGCCCTGACTTGAGGATGATGACCTTGTGGGGTCCTCACATGGCATCTCTGTGTCATAGTGAGATCTCTGATGTCTTTTCTTATGCCTCACTCATTGGCTCTCATGCTATGATGTCATTTACAATTCATTGATGATGTCATTTACAATTCATTCATAGCACTTGGAAGTCTTTGTGTTAAGCCGGTAGAAAAAGCGGTAGAGTCAGTTGCAAAAATCAACGCTCTTTTGCAACCCAGAGCTCATTGTTAAGTGTGGGTTCTGATCCACCTAAGAAGGGCCACGGTGCTCAAGACAACTCAAAGAGATAAGGTTTGTAAGAAGAATAAGCCGATAATAAAAACAATGTATTCCCCAAAAGCCCTATTCCTAATGTAGTCCTGTTAGGGCTGAGACTCTAACGCATAAATGGGACGGGATGCAGCCCATCCCAGGAATCAGGGGACCAGTGACTCAAGCATTTGGTCTCTGAAGCTGCTCTCAGTCACCTCCAACGAGTTATATGACGCTCTCATGGTTCCTAGTGACGAGTCTCTCTTGAGCACAGATGACATTTTGGAACCTCGGCCATGTTTTCTGTAGTGATTACACAGCAAATGTAGTCAAATGGCCCCACTGTTTACCATTGCTGGTCTGAGCCAAGGGTGTCTGAGGACCTCTCCTGCTTATGCCATCTTGGCTAACTTCAGGGACTGGGGGTGGGCAGTGTAGCCTGCTAGCTTAGCCCCTTTCTGACTCGGGGGTGTTCTCCAACAGGCAGAACACTCACAAGCGATGCCTGTGCCCATGAAGTATCTTCAAGCATGAATTACGTTCCTTATTAGCTTCAATCGCCTGTAATCGCTCATCAGACTCATTGCTTTGAAGTGTGAGAAAGGATGTTTCAAATGAAACATTTCAGTCGCTTTAATTGCGCTCGGAGTAGGCAGGAGCACTGGGGTCTGTGTTCAGACGCGCAGGGTCTTCTGCCGCACGGGCTCCATCAAAGTCCGGGCCGCTCTGAGCTTTCAGCCAGCGCAGAGGAAAACAGCAGAGGAGAAAGAAACGGCAAATCAAAGCAAGGAAATCCCACACTGCTGGCACCCACAAGAGTGTTCTTGGGAGTCAACATTGCTTTCATTTTTAGTTTGTGTTTGTTTTCTACACTGGTTGCTTCTGGTATTTTGCACACATTTGGAAATTCTAGCCTGAAGTTAATGGCCCTGACCTGTTTCATGCCTCACAGTGTTAAGGGACAGTTTCCTTGGAGCCAGGAAATTACAGCAGAAGGGGGTAACTCATGTTTCACCTGGGGTCTCAAACGCCCCACTGTCTGTTGTGTCCACGAGGGCTCCTGAAATCCTGTGGACTGGACAAGCGAAGCCCAGTTGTACATTGGGAGCCTTATGTTACAAGGCTGGGGACACAGGACAACACAGTACCTGTCTTGCAAGCATGAGGACCCAAGTTTGATCTCCAGAGCGACATAAAAGAAAAAAAAAACAGATGTGGTGGTAGACATTCCTAATTCCAGCACCAAGAAGGTGGAGACAAGAGGATCTGGGACTTGCCAGTCTGTCAACCTGGAAGAATTTGTAAGCTCCTGGTCAGAGTAAAGATGCTAATGAGAAATCGTGGATGTGAGGAAGAGGAGGAGGGGGTAGGCATAGGAACTCTTGGAGTAGGGGAGGAAGGGGTGGAAGTGATGTAAATAAAATACGTTGTGTGGAATTCTCAAGGAAGTCAAAATACAAAATTCCCCAAATTAAAAAAAAAAAAAAGCAGGGTGGACAGAATTCTGAGAACTAACACCTGTCCTACACCCCACACTCACACACACATACACACACACACACACACACGTGTACACATATACACCATATAACACACAACGTTATGGTCCAGAGGGCATGAATGAGGACTGAGCCTACACAGGACAGTCTGTTCCAGGGCCAGGAGGAGAAGGACTTCCGTGCAAATAGAGGGTTGGCTTTCAGTCTCAGCCATTGAGGAACTCACCAGAGGAGCCCTTGGAGGTGGGCCGTGAAGGGAGCACAGGCATTGGCTGCTGCCCTGTGTGGTCTCCAGTGGCCGGCGAGGACTGTGCTGAATCCCTGTGGGACTGGAGTTAAGTCTCCTGGGGCTGTAGGAGCTCTTACTGCTGGCATCTCCACAGACTCTGGTCCATCTCTTCTTTTCCTCCAGCAGCTGGGAGGAGATTTGTGTTTTACGAGAGTCCCCCCATCACCCAGTCTATGCTGTGGATGTATGAGGCTGGTCCAGGGAGTGCTGTGATCTCATCACCAGGAGACACAGCCATCCTTGTTATTCTGGGGACCTAATGAAGAAGACAAAGTCTGCTTTCAGTGCGCTTTACCTTAAGTATTACCCATGTGCCGTGGGAGAGTGCAGGACACTAGAAAATCGATGGCTTTTCCTAACAGGGAAGGCCCAGCCATGAACTCGGAGGAGCGAGTCTGCCACGGCTTCCCCAGTAAGAGTGACGCGTCCTCCCCTGGTGTCTGACGTGCATGTGACCTCTGCAGCTCCTCTGAGGCGGAATGAGGCAAGCACTGCTAACACGGAGGTAGTGTGCCCATAATAAAAGTATCTACTTTGTCTTCATTCCTCATCCTCTCACCCGTTCAGGAAAATCCCTGGAATGTCCTGAACAGAGTGCTCACATGAGATGCCTCTGGCTGCGACCCTGAAGAGCCTCCTGACAGGAGGACCAGTGTCCTTGCTAGCTGTATGCCAAGTTGACCAAGCTAGAGTCATCTGAAAGAAGGGCAGCTCAAATGAGGAAGAAGATCCAGCTGCAGTGCATTTTCTTATTAGCAATTGGTGTGGGAGGGCTCAACCCATTGTGGGTGTGGCCATCCTGGGCCAGTTCTGGGCTCCATAAGAAAGCAGGCCGAGCAAGCCATGAGCATGTCAGTAAGCAGCATCTCTCTGTGACCTCCCATCAGATCCTGCCTCCAGGGTCCTGCCCAGTGTGAGTTCCTGTGTTGATTTCTCTCAATGGACTGTGACTGTGTAAGCCAAATGAACCTTTTCCGCCCCATCTTGCCTTTGGTCCTAGTGTTCCATCACGGTAACAGTGACTCTAAAGAGCACAGACACTGGTCCCGGGAGTGGGATTGCTGTGACAGACCTGACCATGCTGTTTTGGGAAGGACTGGGGAAGGACTTTGAAACTGTGGACTAGGAGAGCCATTGAGTGGTCACAGCTTGGTGAATCGCTCTGTGTGACGTTGGAAGGTAAAGAATATTGAAGACATTGTCTAATGGAGGCCTGGCTTGTGAGGTTCTGGAGGGAAGATTGGGAATCACTTACAGACTCTTATCAGGACCATTTGCTATTTTGAGTTAAGAATCTGTGGTTCTGATTAGCTGGGGCTAAAGGATCATCTGTGATTGACAAAGGATCAACACCACCAGAACCTTTGCTTTACCGGGACAATTGATACTGATCAGCTGTGGCTGAGAAGTTAGCAGAGATTAAAAAGAGACCAGCAGCAATATGGTGAAAATCTGGGAAGATTTTCCTCAGGTTCTACATTGTAGAACATAGGAGTTGGGTTCTACACCGACCATGGTTGCATGTCACATTGGTACCCAAACTTGGTCATGGGTAGGAGTCACCCAGGTGGCAATGGTTTTGAAAGCATGCAGGGGTCATGAAGAGCAGTAGAGGCTTGGCACTGGATGCCATGGCTGGAGCCCCTGAAGGAAGCCCAGATGAGGATGTGTAAAAGTACAGCCTCGCTACAGTGGAGCCTCTGGTATTTTGGAGATGCCAGTATGGGATGACCACCAAGAACGGCAGCATCAGGGAAATGGAATCAACCTGAGCCTAAAACACAAGCTGTGTGTGCTTGAGAGGGCGGAGCCAGATAAACAACTCCGAGTCTTGTGGAGGAACCCAGCAGCTTGTGAGTGGATCCCAGAAATTGGGCAGTTAGAGTCTGCCTTGATTTGATTGTGACTGTGCCCTGGTCCTTTCTTCTTGAGGTAAGAACCTATTTAATTTGTTTTTGATTTTATAGGAGCCCACAGTTGACAGACTTGGAAATTTGAAAAATATTCTGGAAATTTACAAAGACTTTGAGTTTTAAAAGAGACTGGATTTTTAAGTGTTTAAATGTTCAGAGACTATGGAACTTTTGAGATTCGAAGTGTTCCTGTTGTAATGGTATTATTCAAATGTGACCTTGGGGATGAGTAAGAAAGGAAAGGCTGTAGCTTAGTGGTGAAGTGTTTGTGTGTCAAGCTGCGGGGAACTCAGTCGTGTTGGCAAGTTCTGTGTCAGCTTGACACAAATCAGAGTCCTTCAGAAGGAGGGCAACTCAGACGAGGAAACGCCTCCATAAGATCCAGCTTTAGGGCATTTTCTCAGTCAGTGAACAAAGAGGGACCCAGCCTATTGTGGGTGGTGCCATTCCTGGGCTCGGAGTCCTGGGTTCTGTAAGAAAGCAGGGTGAGCAAGCCAGTAAGCAGCTCTACTCCATGGCCTCTGCATCAGCTCCTGCCTCCAGGTTCCTGCCCTGCTCGAGTTCCTGTCTTGACTTCTCTCAAAGGACTGTGACTCCGGATGTGTACGCCAAATAAACCCTTCCCTCCCCAGTTGCTCTGGTCCTGCTGTATAGTCACGAGAGCCATCACCCTGACTAGGACACTTGCCTCCTGAGAAGCAGCAAGGTTATATTTCCATTCCCTGACTTCCAGACGTGGGGAGAGGCTGCAACACTGAGTTCTATCACCAATAGCTGCTACTTCAGCCTTCACAGCCACAGAATGAAATCTCTGTACAGCCCCTACAAGCCAGGGTTTGGGCAATCTGGGCTTGGTGGGTGTAGAGGCCTGGGACGCAGTGCACTCCAGGGTTGGGGAATGGGCACAGGAGCTCCACACCCAGCTGGATTTCACAACAGTCCCTCACACTTGCACATGTCTGAGCCACACCCCTTCTCAGAAGCTTCCCTGTAAGTGTCAAATATCTCTGATGTCTACGGCTTGTCCCAGCGAGTTTCAAGACCAGGGACGGCAATGGCGATACTGCAGTCATCCAGTCCGACAGCCTGGGGTCCCAACGTCTGTGCTTGGCATCTGAAATGGGGTTCTTGCAGACTGAGCTCTTCAGCTGCGGGCCTGTGCTAACTCTTGGCAGTGGGAGAATTGGTCTGAACCGTGAGACAGTCAGTTAGAGTCACAGAATGGGAGCAAGTGAAAGCGAGAGGGGGGAGAGAATGCCAGCTGATTGGTGACACCGTGCAGGTGGTCACAGTAAGAATCTTTCAGCCCCT